GGCAGGCAGGCGGGTGGGCTGCGCTGACTCCCTGTCGGTCTCGGGGTCCGCGGGGAAGCGTCGCGGCGCTGCCTGTGGCCCGCCGAGAAGAGGCCGAGGCGGAGGCCACGTTTGCCCTTAGTGGAGCCGGGCGAGTGGCCTTCGCCTCCCTGGGGAGCGCAGCTGGGAGCCGAGGTTTCCCCGCGGGGGTGTTGGGGTGAGAGTGCGCCTGCTCGGTGCACGCAGCTTGCCCTGTGGCGCCGCCAGGCTCGTGGACCGCATGGGGGGCCGGCCTCCGAGCCGTGCCCGGGGGCTCTGCCCAGGGTGCCACCTCTTGGCCTCCCCGCCTCATTTTTCCTAGGCAGGAAGCAAGCTGCCTTCATTTCTCCTTCCAGCCTTGTGACGCAAAGGGAAAGCCCCGCTCTTCCCTCCTCGAAGGCAAAGAATAGACTTTCTGCCGCCTATGTTTCCTTGCCTGCAGGAGGGGAGTTCCTCTGTTCTGCCCCCTCTGTTTGTTTTTAAGTGTCAGTACCCGTGATCCCTCCGTGTTTTGCCAACTGCTCCTCAGTGAAATCACCGTTCCACTGAATTTTATTCCTGGCAGGACTATGCTTGTTGGTTTCGGCATAGCTACCTAAGGGTTTTTTTTAGTGACTTCCATGGGGAACCCCAGGCCCTGTGTGCTGGATCTGGCAGCCAGTGCTGGCTTAGGTGGGGAAGGAAGGTTATGTGGCCCCCAGGACCCAATCTCAGTTTGCAGGGGGTGGGGCTGGGCCCTTAGGAACGAATCCTGGCAGGAGGGGGCAATGCTGAGCTCCACGGTCCTAGGTGGCCTGCAGAAGGGCTCCATACTACTGGTCTGGCCCACAGAGCACCACTGACTTAATCCCTCCTCTCATCTATCTTCATCAGGGAAGGTTTCTCACTCAGCAAGTCAAGTAACTCTTTTTTATACCGGCTCAAAATATAGCAATTGTGCCATCATGTGGTGTTGGTGATATAAACCATGAAGGAGAAGCAGACTGATATTTGAAAACTGGCTTCATTTCTCTTTCATATTGTAAATATTTGCAGTATTAGAAGAAGTGTTAATCTGAGTCTCTCTTCTATGTTGTCCTCCTAAATAGTGTTTTGGGACATCAGTGTGATGTATGTTTGTCTGAATCTGGTTCACAACCAATGTATTTTTAGAGAAAACTGAAGTAGTAACTTTTTTTTTCTTCTTTGAACCAGTACGGTGATCTGTTTTATCTGCAGAAGGTTGTCAAGCAATACATTTTCCATCACAAAAACAAGCACTATCAAGTGGACAAGAGCTACTCGGAGGCAAATATAGGATGTTCTGTGAAGTATAGGATTGTCTGTGACATGCCCAATAATTCTTGAATGATGTGATTGAGTTTTAGATCTTGTTTAGAAGCTTTTAAGTAGTTCACATTTAAATGAATATTTTTAACGTTTTTCTCAGGAGAGCCGTATCGACTTTTGGTTGGTACAGAATATGTTGTTGGACGCAAGAGCTGTGCAATTTTAATTCAGAATGATCAATCAATCAGTAGAAATCATGCAGTACTGATGGTCAGTCCTCCTGAATCTAACGTTGTAAGTAATCACTTTGCTGTATTATGGTTACATCATGTAGATGGATAAGCTGTCCTAATGTCATTGATCCACTCCTGTTCTAACAAACCTACACTTTAGCAGTGGAACCAAGGGTACCTGGTTTTTATACTGATTATTTTGAAGGGCTTTTCTAAATGGGGAGATTTACTGGGACACTGATGCCACTGCTGCCATCTCTGTCACTGTATGTACTCTCTTATTTCTCCTATTTCTGAGTAAGTGTTTCTGAGATGTGAGGAGGTAAGTACTGTAATAAATTTGTATTTGAAATGTAGTGCTGCTAAATTCAGAAAAGTTTCAGAGCAATGCCTGGAGTCTAAAAAGGCTGAGAACCTCTGAACTAAGTGTAACCTTTACATGGGTTATGTAACAGAATTTAAAATTGAAATAGACCACCAAAGAAAGAGATTGTTAATTGTTACAATCTTGAAGATGATTGATTTAAGGCATTTGGATATAAATAATCAATTACCCTTACAGTTTTGTGGATTTTTTGAATGATATAAAATGCAACCTGAAATGTTGCAGGGAGTTTACCTATATGCATTGGGTTAATCTGACTGGCAACAAATAGCATATGTAAACTATAAGGGTAATAGAGTCCATTTGTAGTTTCTAGGCCAGTTACAGAGAAAAAAATGGTTGGGGACATACATCACACTGAGCTATTGCAACTTCCCTGTAGTGGTACATGAATAAAGTTGTTGTGGCAGAATGCCCTCCCAGCATCCATGGCCTTTGTGACCTGATTGTAGAAGGCAATCAGGTTGGTCTGACATGATCTCCCCTTAATAAATCCATGCTGATTGCCCCTGAGCATCATTTCTGATGCTGGCCCCTCACAAATGTGCTCCTTGATGATCTTCTCAAAGAGTTTCCCCA